GCTTCTTGGATGTCTACTTTCATCTCCTTCTTCAAATTAGGGAAGTTCTCTTCTAATATCTCTGTGAATATTTTCTCTTCCTTGGCCTTTCTCTTCGCCTTCTGGGATACCTATAACTCTGATATTTCCTTTCCTAATGGTGTCATATAGCTCTTGAAGTGTTTCTTCAATCCTTTTCCTTTTTACTTCACTTTCTTTTTCTTTTTTAATGCTCTTTGTGTCTGTGTCTTTGAGGGTGCTGATTCGTTCTTCCGAATTTCACTTTTGAAGTCTTTACTTTTGTTGAGTTAATCTCTCAAAGCCACTTTTATTTTCAGTGTTAGCAAACTTGGATGAACAATTTTTGTGAAAAATCCCTATTTTGGTAATAAAGTTCATTTCTTTCAATTTCCTAATTATGGGCTTTCTTCCTTTTTCTCTCCTAACATTTATGTTTTAAATACTAATTGAAGGTGTTCGATTTGGGATTTTATTTCGAAAACACTTTGTCATTCAACATATTAGTAAGTTACTTTAGATAAATTATAACAAATTTAAGCTTGCCTTTGTTGTTTTGTGAGGGTATGAATTGATTTATGTTTGACTTTACTTTTCCCATGTAGACACCACTCAATGCACAAGCTTATGAACTTTTAACTGTCTTCATGGACTGGATTTCAGATCATCACCTGAGCAAACTGAAAAATGAAGAGTGTGGAGCAGATAGCGAAAAGCCACTGCACAAATTTCCTTCTCAGAGAAATGATATTCAGGAAAAATGTGTAAAGGTTTGTTTCTTTTTACTTTTAAGTATATAACTTATTAAACAAGAGGGTTATAAAGTAAAAACATGATACATTTTAAGAGAAAACAGTTGAAAGTTGTTTTGATAGAAAGTTGACTATAACCAATGATTCTAGAAGAATTTATTTCATAATTAAAATTAATTTATATTTGTTTTTTCCTAAAATAATGGGAATATCTTTTAAAATAATAGCAGAAATTAAGAACACATTCCAACGAAGGAAAAATATTTGTATATTAGAGTTAGGTAAGTAATTGGTGATATGAATAAAAACCGATTCACATAATTTTAGGATTCTAAGCCATCTCATGTCATTTCAACTTGACTTCTGTCATGAAGAGATAAAAAGTGTATTTTGAAGGGGCCTGTCATTACCAAAGATTTCTAAATTTCAGTCATTAATCTGGATATTGGTACTCATGACTAGTTGTTAGTATAAATGTATTGCCACAGTAAATACATTAAAACTTTGAGGAGTAGATATCTGAAGCTGTTTAGTTTAATATTCTTGGAAATAATTCATGTTGACTAGTTATAGCCAGGGCTTTGTTTTTGTATATTATTTTCAGTTTTTCTCATTATCTGAGTACTTTCCTTTAAGTAGCTTTTGTGTTAAGACAAAATAATGACCTTTAAGATGTTTACATTTACAAGTTACTATGTTATGTTACATGGCAAAAGAGAATTATAGCTGCTAACCTTCCAGTAGAGATTAACCAGGATTATGTACATAAGATCTTGAAATTAGACAAAAGAAGTGGAAGAGTAGGTCAGAATCTACTTTGCTGGCTTTGAAGAGAAAAGGATCGGATCACAAGAGTGGTTTTTAGAAGCTAAGAATTACTTTCAGCTGACAGCCAGCAATGACAGTGATAATTCAGTCCTACAACCAAAAGTAACTGAATGTTGCCAGCAACATCAGTGAACCAAGGGAAAAAAGGTATCCTCCCACTCCCATAGGCTCCAGAGAGGAACACAGCTCTGCTGAAAGCTTGATTTGAGCTAATTGAGACTCATGTTAGACTTCTAACCTATAGAACTCTAAGATATGCGAAAGGGTTTTATAGGACATCTTCAAGTAATCTAGAGGGCAGGAGGAAAAGAGAGGGAAAAGGGTAGAAAGGTTATTTATTTATTTTCTTTCATTAAAAAAACATAATATATATAGTTTATTTTTACATCATTTTGTGCATTTATCCATCTCAGTTGTAATCCCCTTGGGCTTCCCATCACCATATCACCCATGTGCCATCACCAAAGTCCAGTGCATTTCCCTCCCTCCATTGTATTTGATCCCATTCCCCACTCCAGCCCCATAAATTTTCTCTGGTACATAACTGTTCATTATTATTATTTTCTCGCCTGGCCCATTATACTCCTGCTATGAGTGGAACCATTTGATATTTTTCCTTTTCCTTATGGCTTATTTCACTAAGGATGATCTTCTCCAGCTCCATCCATGTTGCTGCAAAATACATGTGTTTCTTTTTTTTTTGGTTACTGAGTAATATTCCATTGTGTATATGTACCACATCTTTTTGATCCAGTCATCCATTTTTGGACATTTGGGCTGTTTCCATGTCTTTCCAATTGTAAATAAGGCAGCAATAAACATGGGGGTGCAGGTATCTTTTTGAATCAATGTTTTTGTGTCTTTTGGGTAGATACCTAGGAGTGGGATTGCTGGGTCATATGGAAGCTCCATGTTTAGCAATTTGAGGAACCTCCAAACAGTTTCCCATAGTGATTGTATTAGTTTGCATACCCACCAGCAGTGCAGGAGAGTTCCTTTTTCTTTACATCCTCACCAACATTTGTTGTGCTAGTTGTTTTAAGATGTGCCATTCTCACTGGGGTGAGGTGGTATCTCATTGTGGTTTTAATTTGCATATCTCCCTTACTACAAGTGATGTTGAACATTTTTTCATGTGTTTGTTGGCCATCTGCATTTCCTCTTTGGAGAAGTGTCTTTTTAGCTCTTCTGCCCATTTTTTGATGGGGTTGTTTATTTCTGTTGGGTTTCATCAGTTCTTTGTATATTTTTGTGATCAATCCTTTATAGCTAGTTTTGTGTGAGAAAATTTGTTCCCAATCAGTGGGATGTCTGTTTGTCTTTTGTAATGTTTCTTTTGCTGTACTGAAGCTTTAACTTGATGTAGTCCCATCTGTTTATCCTTGCCTTCACTATTGTTGCAATGGGTGCTCTGTCTTTAAAGATGTTGCTGAAGTATATGTCATGAAGTGTTTGGCCCATCTTTGCTTCTAGGTATTTTATGGTTTCTGTTCTTATGTCTAGGTCTTTAATCCACTTCGAGTTGATTTTTGTGTATGGTGTGAGATAGGGATCTAGTTTCATCTTTTTGTATGTAGCCTCCCAGTTTTCCCAGCACCATTTGAACAAACTTTCTTTGTTCCATTGTATCTTCTTTGCTACTTTGTCAAAGATTAGCTGTCCATATGCCTGTGAGTTTATATCTGAGTGTTCTATCCGAATCCACTGGTCTGTATGTCTGTTTTTGTTCCCTTACCATGCAGTTTTGATTATTATAATTTTGTAAAATAGCTTTAAGTTTGAGATTGTAATGCTTCCATTCTGTTTTTTCTCAGTCATGAGAGTTTTGGCTCTTCGAGGTCTTTTGTTGTTCCATATGCATCTCATCAACATTTTTTCTATTTCTTTGAAGAATGTCATTGAGACTTTTATTGGATGGCATTAAATCTGTATATCGCTTTTTGGTAGGATGGCCATTTTGATGATGTTAATTCTCCCGATCCATGAGCAGGGGATGTCTTTCCAGTTCATGGTGTCTTCTTGAATTTCTTTTAACAGTGTTTTGTAATTTTCTTTGTAAAGGTCTTTTAACTCTTTTGTAGGTTGACTCCCAGTTTCTGATTCTTTCTGTTTTAATTGAAGAGGGGATGGTTTTTAAAATCTTGCTTCTTCTGATTAGTTGTTTGTGTATGGGAAGGCCTCTGACTTTTGTGTGTTGATTTTATATCCTGCTACCTTGCTAAACTGACGGATGGTTTTGATTAGTTTTTAGACTTTTCCATGTAAATTGACATTTCATCTGCAAGTAAGGAAAGTTTTACTTCTTCTTCCCCTAGTTGGACTCCTCGTATGTCTTTCTTGTCTTATTGCTCTGGCTAGAACTTCCAATGTTATGTTGAAGAGCAGTGGCAATAGTGGACACCATTGTCTTGTTCCTGATCTCAAAGGAAAGGCTCTCAGCTTTATGCCATTGAGGATAATATTGGAGGTGGGTTTGTCATATATGGCTTTTATCATGTTGAGGTATGTTCCTTCTATTTCGAGTCTTTTGAGGGCCTTACATATAAATGGGTGTTGAACTTTGTTGAATGCCTTCTCCACATCTATTGATATGGTTATGTGGTTTTTATTTTTCTGGTGGTTGATGTGATGGATTACATTGATTGATTTTCTGATATTGAACCATCCTTGTGCTCCTGGGATAAAGCTCACTTGTTCACAGTGTATTATTCTTTTAATGCATTGTTGGATTCTGTTGGCTAAGATTTTGTTGAGGATTTTTGCATCGGTGTTCATTAGGGAGATTGGTCGGGAGTTTTCTTTTTTTGTGTTTTCTTTGTTAGGTTTTGGTATTAGTGTGATGCTGGCTTCATAGAAAGTACGTGGTAGTTTTCCTTCTTTTTCAATTTTTTGGATGAGTCTTCACTCTGCCACCATCTTACTGGCTCACCCCTTTTTTTTTCAGGTTATTTAAGTAATAGTAAAGAACTAATTAACTGGACATATAAATTGGAGAAGTTTTTAACAACTGCAGGTAGGATGAATCTGAGAAGTCTACTCTGAGACCAATTATAATCAACCTGTTGAAAGTCAAAGATTCAATCTTGAAATTACTTAGATAAAAGGAACTTTTTAACCTTTTAGGGAGCATGTATAAGAATTATTAGTGAGAGGCCTTGGAGTCTATAGGGATATATACAGAAAGAGCTGAAAGAAAAAAAAAAACCACTGCCAAGATTATAATAGCTGACAAAACTGGATTTCAAAATGGAGAATAAAGTCAGACTTTCCCAGAATAAAAAAGTTTAGGAAGTTTATTATTTTTCGACCTGCCCTGTAAGAAATGCTAAAGAGAACCTTTTGTGTTGGAAAGAAAAGATACTGCACAGCAACCCAAAACTTATGAAAATATACATTTTTCTGGTGAAAGGAAATACATGAAAAATATATACAAATCTCTATTGTGATTTTGGTGCTTATATCCAGTTTTAGTTCTTGCATAGAATTTAAAATAACTAAATCTGTGGTAGGGGTTACATATAAGGTGTAATTTGTGACATTAATAATATAAGTACTTGTGAAAGAATAGAGCTTTTGTGTATGAATGAAGTTTTGTTATTAGGTTAAAAGAGATTCCTTTGACTTTATGTAATCGCAGTGGTAATCACAAAGTATACATGAGAAGAAACTAGAAGTAAATCGAAGCATTATGTATGTAATTCCAGTGGTAATCACAAAGTATACATGAAAAGAAAGTAGAAGTAAATCACTGCATGTCACTACCAATATAAGTATAGTTGTTCATGCTTTCTTTTTTGGTCCATTTGCTTGTAAGATTATTTTCCATCCTTTTATTTTCATTCTGTTTTTATCTTTCATAGCTAAATGTGTTTCCTGAACAGCAAAAGGTCAGGTTTTGTTGCCTGTGACTATGTGTCTTTTTATTGATAAGTTTAGTCCATTTACATTTATAGTTAATGTTGGTATATAGTCATATGCATTTGCCATTTTGCTTGTCTTTCAGTGATTTTATTCCTGGTCTTGTTTTGTTCTTATTTATCCACCTGTCATTTTTCCCTTTATGACTTCTTGTAGTAGTCTTTGAAATGGGGTTTAGTTGTAAAAAAAAAATTGTAGAGTTTCTGTTGCTTGAGAATGTCCTTATTCTTTCTTCATAAATGAAGAACAGCTTTGCAGGATAAAGTATTCTT